GTAGATTAGAAACAGCTATCTGTCTCCTTGGAGTAAACGTATTTCTTTTTGGAATTCACATTTTGTTTTATAAATTTAACTACAAAGCTTTCAGCTTTAACCAAACAGGCCAGTTTAAAGAAAAAAAAAGATTTACTTCCGTTTACTGTAGATCACGTTTGGAGAAAAAGAGGACGAGACATGATCTGACTGCTGATTCCCCATGTGGGAAATTAGGCACCACAAGGAACCGTTGAAATAATAAGGAAGATTAACTGTGAGAGAAAATCGTCAGACGGAACAGATGGTGTGTGTGTTTGTGTGTGTGTGTGTGTGTGTGAGAGAGAGAGAAAAAGTGTGTCTGTGGCTACAGCAGGTGTGGGCGGCGTCTGTTTGCCACTTACTGAGGAATGAAGTTGACTTTACGTCATAGGAGAAATAAAACGCCGCCCCGACACTCACGTCCTCTCATTTCTCTGAACACAACAGCTGGAGAACAGCCGAGGTCCAATCTGAGATTAGACCAGGAACAAGAAGAAAAGAAAAGAAAGTTACATTTAGGACAGAAAAAGAAAAACAGAAGCTTTTCCTTATAGTGCCCAAAACGGCCGCGCGTAATTACGCATCAAACAATAACAATGAATGCCACAACAGCCATGGAAGTGAACATCGAAGCCAAACGGATCTTGGCCGTGTCGATCAGCAAGCTGTACGCCTCCAGGACCCAGAGAGGGGGGCTGAGACTGCATCGGAGCCTCCTGCTGTCCCTGGTCATGAGGTCCGCCCGGGACATCTATCACTCCTCCCGGGAGTGCGAGGCGCCGAGCTGCGCGCAGTCCGCTCCGGAGGAGCCCATGGAAACCAGCTCCAGTCCGGAGGAGCCAATCCGGCAGCCTGAGCCTGAGCCCCAGCAGGCAACCGCCGGATCAGAGACCGCCTCAGACCCGGAGGAGCCGGGCAGCGAGGCGGAGGAGTACGACTGTGAGATCACCGAGGACAAAGAGAACATGAGCCCGGAGAGGCAGTCCAGGAAACGCCGGGGCAAGGCGTCGGCGGCGCCTGACTTCCTTCCCAGCAAGAGGGCGAGGTTGGAGCCCGGGGAGGAGAGGCACGCGGCCCCGCTGGGCAGCTGTCGCGCCGGGGCTGGGGACTCCCTGACCACTTTGTCTCTGAACCGAGTTATCCCTGCCTTCTGAGCGGGCGGAGGAGACAATGAGCTCCAGCAGAACTTTCTTTACAGAGGAGTGATTATCAACTCCTTGTCAACAATAAACGCACCGGAGGAGCTGACCTACATCAGACGTCCCGGGACAAAGGGATTACAGGTGCCACGGAGGTGCGAGTTCTTCCACTGAACTCGGTGTGCCTGTCGGGCTGATGAAAGCCCCCTAGCTGAAGCCAAGAGGGGGAGAAAAAAAGAAGTGGTTCAGGCAGAGCTGAAGGCTGGAAAGTTTGCGGAAGAAGCTGCAGGGGAACTGGTTGTGCTGCGTCCTGTTTCCCGGTGACTCATCTCCAGTTCAATGAGTCCAAACAAGTGACTGCTGCTGAGTCAAAACGTGTGCATGTGTGAATCAACAGTTAATCAGAGAAGCGAAGCTGACAACACAGAACAACACACACACACACACGAAACCAAGACTCCAGGGAATTTCCTGTCTTCATAACCAGAAACCAGTCTGAAACACTGAAAGAGGAAGGACAGAGGCAGAGACATTTACTCACACATTCAGCTGCTGCTGTGGACTTTGACAAATCGATACTACTGCTGTGGGACTGTCCTACAAAGTGCTTTCACATGGTGCTTTAAAAAAACAGGCTGGTCCACATGGGGCCTGTTTATCTGAACATTTTCTTATTTTTATTTAGTCACTAAGCTCATCTTTTTATGTTTGACCTGTGGAATAGGATTACCTCACATTTCATGCTGCTTTTTAATTGTTTTATGGAATTAAGGTTGTAAAAACTTGTAATAAACATGTTGAAAAAGGTAGTAACTTGTGTTTGGCTTTTTTTTTAAGTGTTTCGATGTTCATAACTTATTTCCAATTTAAAAGATCGGTGGTTACTTTGAGTTAGAGTCACGAGGTCAATCCTTTATTAGAGGGAGGAAGTTGGTACAACTCTGTGCCCGTCTGACTTAATCTCCTGCTCACACACACACACACACACACACACACACACACACACACACAC